GACTGGGCTGGCTCTGCGGGCTTCTGGGGGTAGAAGCTCTCCTGCACCCCCCCATTTGCCCCCTCTCCCCAGATGGCAGCCTGCGGCAAGTGCAGCCGGGCTGATGGCCGAGTGCTGTGATGTGCCCAGTGTGGGCATTCTGGGCACTCCAAGCCAGGACTGCTTTGCAAGTGGGGCACCCCTGAGAACTGTCTGTCCGGGGTGGGGGTCGGGTCCCTTTAAGCACAGCCCTCGGCTAGCCTGAGGCAGCAGCTCCACGCTCTAAGTCCTGCTGGCACTGCTTCCGGCTATCCTTAACCTCAGTTCAGGGTCCACTCAGTGTGGACATGCTAGTTTGAATTAGCAAAACGCTAATTCAAACTAGTTTTTAAGTTTAGATGCGCTAATTCGAATTAGCTTAGTTCGAATTAACTAATTCGAACTGTTAGTTCGAATTAGTGCTGTAGTGTAGACATACCCCTAGTGTCATCTGAGCCTAATGCTCTTCCTTATCTGCAGAACTCTTACTTTTATAACTGTTCACATCTGCATAGCTTGTACACATGAACCTCACCATCTGCCCGTGTGTGGAAGGTGTCTCACATGATTAGCACTAATGGCTGAGCAGAGAAGACTGTGGTGTGTGCATATTTGAGAAAAGTTTACATATAGGCTAACGTTAGGTATATCTACCTTGTATTGTAAGCCCATGATTAGTAGAACTCAAGTTACAGACACATTTTTAAATCCAGATTCTTGAACACTGAACTCCAGACTAGGGATCCAGCATCTACATTGCATCACGTGTTGTACTAACACAGAACAAAAATATTGTTCCTGCCCCAAATCTAGGGGCTTGTCTGTGTCTCAGTTTCCTGCGGAGCCAGCCCGGGTGCACACTCTGGGACTTTCACTGTGCTTTAGCAATGCCCACAACACATGAAACATTACACCATAACTAGGTAGTACACGGTAGACTCACACCCTAGCTTGCTGCATGGCTTTGATGGCAGCCTTTAACTACCTGAAGGGAGGTTCCAAAGAGGATGGAGAGAGACTTTTCTCAGTCATGACAGATGACAGAATGAGGAGCGGTGGTCTCAAGTTGCAGTGGGGGAGGTCTAGGTTGGATATTAGGAAAAACTATTTTACTAGGAGGGTGGTGAAGCACTGGAATGGGTTACCTAGGGAGGTGGTGGAATCTCCATCCCTTGAGGTTTTTAAGTCTTGGCTAGACAAAGCCCTGGCTGGGATGATTTAGTTGGTGTTGGTTCTGCTTTGGGCAGGAGGTTGGACTCGATGACCACCTGAGGTCTTTTCCAACCCTGTGATTCTATGATTCTATATGCTGCTTCAGTGTTAGATCCTAGGATGAGCTTGCAGTGTGAACAATTAAAAGTGGATTACACTCTTCACATTCAGATCTGAACTTCTCCAAATTTGTAGGATGTTGAATCCAAAGGTTTGGATCATCTCCATTTCTGCTTTGAATTTATAAACTGAACAAATCTGATGAAGTATAGGGATGTAAGCAAGTAGTCGACTAGTCAACTAACTGATAAGCCTCGGCTTATCAGTTACTCGCGTTAACTAATGCATATCCACCCCCCAACTTCTATCGTATCAATGGCAGCAAGAAGGGGGGAAGCAGGAGCTGGTGCTGAGGGGAGCCGGAAAGTACTGTAGACATGCCAAATACTAAGCTCCACAGGCTCTCACTCTCTATATGTCGCCACGAGCATTGATATTTCAAATAAATAACTCGGGATTATTTGATTAGCTCTGCAGTGCAAATATTCTAGACACAATGACTTTGAACAGTTACAACAATAATATTCATTGTCTTCCAATATAAATCCCTAAATGGTTTGGGGCCTGGTAACTTGACAATAGATTGGGTTAGAAGCAGTTCCAATTTTTATTGTTTTGGATGGGCTCAAAATGAATTTAAAAAAAAAATTGAGTGAACTCTCAAAAAATCACTTTTTGGGCCCAGTGTTTTGACCAACCCCAAACTAAAACCTATTTTTCTGATATTTTACATTTTTTAGTTTAAAAATTTTCAAAATATAAAATCAAAAAATCAAAATGTTCCAATCTGAAAATATCAAAAAGAAGCTTTTGAAGGGTTTTTTTTTTAAATTTCTTTCCTCCAACTGAAACAATGTGGCAAATCTGACAGAAATCCATGAAATGTTTTAGTCAAACCAAATCTATTTTTTGCTATAAAAAAAATAGTTTTGGTGAAAAATGTTCATGCAGCTATACCTGAGAGAGCGAGCCTGGTTCCCTGAACCAGACTGCTGCAGTGGAAACCTATGGCTTTGGACAAGCTACAATTTCCTAACTTTAAAAGAGAAGGGAAAGCACTAATAGCATCTCTATCAGTTTACAAGTTTCTTCTATTGGTCGTCTAAAGCATGCCATTTTTTGCACAAGGTTGGGTACGTAAGAACATAAGAACGGCCATACTGGGTCAGACCAAAGTTCTATCTATCCCAGTATCCTGTCTGCTGATAGTGGCTGATAGTACCATATGCCCCAGAAGGAGGGAACACAACAGGTAATCATGAACTGATCCCTCTCCTGTCATTCATTTCCAGACAAATAGAGGGTAGGGTCACCATTCCTACCCATCCTGGCTAGTAGCCATTGATGGACCTAACCTCCATGAATCTATCTAGCTCTTT